TCGCTAGCAGAGCTGCGAACCAATTCACAACAAGGAAAATGTACAACTAACGTACGTACAAACAATATCAGCATCTGCGATCTTTGTGCGACATGATCGGATGGATTGCATGGTAGTAGAAAGGTGAGCGCTGATCGGCATGCGTTTCGATACAATTAATATAGAGAAATTTGTGTCTTTTCTGAGCGACTCATATTGCGCTGTATTGAACGACTGTACTTTCTACTATATTTATAGATCTATGTATGGTATAGGGGTTGGCACAAACCACCAACATTTCTGCGAACAAGCTGGACTCAGGATTCGCTGGGGTTGCTCTATCGCTTACGATTCGTTCAAAACAGCGCAATTTAAGCTCAGTGACTGACACATTCCGTTCCTATTATAAAGTACGCCTGGGAAGCCAAGCCGGGCTCAAGAGATGGAGGAAAGCTTTGCGTAAGCCGGGCGATCCGACTGGTTAAATATTAGAGGAAAAACACCATTCGAGGGTTTGCGAACCGCTGATGGAACAGTTCACGAGAGCTTGAACTGAAGCCACAGCCGCAGAGACTATTCCGATGCTATGCAGCATACCATTCGCGAAGACATAAATATCGCCCATTCGGCTCCCAACATGTTCGCTTCATTCTATTCAGTACTACATTGAAAAGGGCAGGCACCCGCTTTAGGGCTGTGACTGCCTCACCTGCGCAAGATTACTTTGTAGGCAACGTTCTTCCTTTCTTCGGAAGTTTCCGTGAATGTTCAACGTTGCTTCGATTGGATTATTCTGCAGACACATTTCTTCGATACTTATTACAGTGACTTAATATTCTGCGATTATATTTACTCAAGCTGACCAATACTATCATTTCACGCTGATAGCATTTAAAAAATTTGCTTTCAGTGCGAACGAATGGGAACGGGCTTCGTACACAACAACTGTATAGGAATCGCTTCAATGTGTGCATTTTTTCTGTGAGCGCTTCAAAAAACTCAGTCACTTTCTGTGGATGTAATGTACATAGGGAGTGTCGTTATCATTCCATACTTATTGCCGTGTTAGCCTATTTGCAGCTGTCATGGGCTTATAAGTGTATGTGACGTGAATCTGAGGCTCACTGCATTCGCACTCTTGCATTCTTAACGCACTTACTTTCGGTACCGTCTCGCAGGCTGACGCCGTCGCGTCTCTTTCTGGGGTACGGGCCGGCATGAAAACAAGCGCACTTTCCTCGCGCGATCCCTCTTTCGTTGCCTCAGGATATTCCACTAATGCCTGACCTCTCTAGTCTGTCCCCTGCTCGACGCTCCGTGCCGCTACTAAACAAATTTACAGATGGTATTAGTTAGGTAATATAGAAGACTCCCTGAGCTTCCTTGTATTAAAATTTGTTCTTTGAATTGAGATTTGTTCTTGTGTAAGAAACTCTCCCTTCCTTTCAAGATTTACTGACTATGTTTGAGACTCAGCCCTCTTCAGATCACTGAATTACAAGAACAAGTAAAATCTTACACACACACACACACA